GAAATAAAGTATGATCTTTTAAATAAAAAACACTTCCGATTCTGAGCATAGTTCTTAGGAAAAAACGTTTATGAAAAATGTATTTTATGTCACTAAATAAAATTTTAAGCGTTGCAAAAGTTCACACTGTATATTATTAATTATTCAGGACTGAGAATTATTTATGTTATTTCGGCACTAATACTTTTTAGTCAGATCCAAACAAATACTTTAGGAAACCCAAGCTATTAATTAAAATTAACAAATAAATAAGGTCGATTTGCTAACAGCCCGAACATTCATTTTCTCTACATGATTTTCAAAGTTTTAAGTTAAAATATCGTAGGTGACTTTCGAATCTTTCGTATCTTGATTTTGAGGTAAAATCCGGCATTTGAAAGGTATTTTTCTCTCCGTGCCCCTGTGTGTGTGTTTCGAGTGCAAGTTTTGGTCGTCGTCTTCATTGTTGGCTGTCCTCGTCCTCGGCGTCGTCACAAAAGTTTCTCCTCCATGTGCCTGCTGGCGGCATGTGTTCAAGAGTTAAGTTGTGTCGAGTGTGACAGAAGGGGGTTTTTTGGGGCATGGAGAGGTTGAGGGTCTGCGGTGTTCTTTGTGTGCTGACTGCACGAATTTAAAGCTGCCACACACTCTGCCAAACTGCTTTTTGACTTCTAGCAAGGGGGCCAGGCGGCAGTCAGCTAACCAGCTGATTACTTTGGCATTTGTTTGGGCCAACTGCGGTAAGTTTCCGGTCGTGGGGTCGAGGGGATCGAAGGGGGGTAGAGAATCCGTACTGGAGGAAAATCCGAATCCTTGGATGCTGCTGGGCGTCATGCTTTATTTATTGGCCGGCTACGATGTCATAAAAGTCATACAAAAAATAACCTTTTTGGGGGAAGCCCCAATAACGGGCGACACATTAGCCGACACTCTGGCTGTGAGACAGCGACAATGACATCGCAAAGTGCCCTGTCATAATAATAACAGCAACAACACCGGAGCGTCGCAGGGCAACAACCATAACAATTAAGCTATATCAAATTGAAAAAGTTACTTTTTGTCTCACAACCTGTCATTATCACGGGGGTATAAAAAAGATTGACACTGGTGGGGGAGGGTCGCCAAATGATGATTAAGCAAAATGCGCCTCAATGTGAGCATTATAGATCAAAGATATGAACACTGAACCAAATAATGTTAAATGTTAAGGACATAAAAGGTAGAACATAAAATTCGAAAAGAGTATATTAATATTGGGGAAAACGCTTAGAAATACGAGTTAATTTCTGTATTGAAAAAAAAACAAATATTGTATTCATTAACATAAATACTTTTTAAAATATAATTTGAAATTATAAAACTTTATCATATATTTTTTAAGTGCATAAAATTACCTTCTGTTTTAAAACCACATATACATTGTTATAAATGCCGATTAAAACATTTTTTTTGTGTAACTTTACAATTTATGTATATTAGACCTAATTCTTTTCTCTGCATAATCGTTTACACATAAACATATTCAGGTTTATGCCTTCACAACGGCATTACCCTTAGCCCTGTTTTATGACCTAGCAAACCGTAAATCAACGCTAATTAAATAAAAAATTGCTGCGCCATGGGAAAGGAACAGGATAATTGACTCGCGCCCCGAGTTCGTTTACCAATATTAATACAAAACTTTCTCTTTAAGTGTCATAATGTGGTCGTGCAAATGTCAAAGCCAACTTTTTATTTGTTCAATGACTTGCTGTATCGCTCTTTGTACCCAGTCCTTTCGCTTTCTATCGTCTCGCCAGAATTCCTGAAATAAACAGAGTTTCAATATATCGCATGAGTTGCAAACAGCGATTCCGATTGCCGGCGCTAATGAAAGAGTTAATTGAATTTCGTACGTTTGTGTCCACAAGGTATTGGTCGCCAGGCAGCGACTGCAAATATGATTATAATTATTAATTAAATCTGTATTGTGTTGCACTCAGCGGTTGTTTTTCCTTTAAAACCTCTTTGCGACTTTTCGTGAATCCCGGAGAGTGTGAAAAATGCCAAAGACTGCGTGATGGTTGAGAATTAATTGCAGTTCAACTGATTTTAAATGAATCGAGAGGTTTTAAATGAAGTTATGTGGTAAAGGGACTTCGAAATTGCGTAAAAATGTTATTTGGTTCTTAGTAAGCAGAAAGCAACTTAAATAGTGTCTTTTTAAATTGAATAAAAATTAAACATGTTAATTAAATTTCTGGTGGTATTCACACCAACAAAGCGCTGTAAGAGCATTGAATTTCCCATAGAATAATTAATCTTTCACACTGCTATGAATTTTCTTCTTAAGGTTTAATCCCTTTAATTGTATATATACAGGTTCTCAGAATTCAATGAAGACAATAGGTTGAATGCCTAAGGGTTTGGCTGGCTCACACACTTGAAGTCGTTTCGGTCAAGTTGAGGCATGCCATGTCATAGAAGAGTTTCCCCTTTGAAGGTGTATTCAAGGATTTGGTCTTATTATTCACAGGAGAGAAGCTTGACCATTTCCTGGGAAGGCCGATTGGATGGCCAGTAACCGGATTCTCTGGGCTCTGAGAAGCCTTCTGCCTTCTTGACCAGTGCCTTTTATCATTAGTTTCTATTTGAGTTAAGCTCTGCTGCAGTGGGCGAGCATTTAATTAACTCAACTGAAAGTTTGAATTTGACTTGCGTAAATTAATACATTGGCCATGTTATTGGCCTCCTGTTGAACTTGGGGTAAACGGGACCACAACTATGCCCCATCCTTCACCCACTACCCATTACTTGGTATCTTTGGATGAGCTGGATTTTCGCTAAAACTTCACTTACCAACGAACCCTTATCAACTTTCGCCACTGCCACTACGTTCAGCTAACTTTGCTTATAAATTTCATTCGAGTCATTTGTTGACACACACACACACACACACACACACACACACAGACACAGCCAAACTCATCGAACACAGATACTCACGCAGACAAATGCAGACAATACAAAAGTCGCAAGTCGCGGAAATCGCGAAAAGTTGTTGAAGTTATCTGGGCAACGCAATTTCTTGTTCTCGTTCCGCTACCATTGTTTATAGTTCGCCTTTGTATTTGTAAGTTTCGCCCGAATGTGCAAATAGAATTAAAATGCGACGGAGACGGAACTAACCCAATTCTGATTTCTCATTGCGGGGGGTTTTAGTTCGACTTGATTGTTAAGGGGTTTCAACTGGGGATATTGGCCAGCAGTTAAAGTGCATAATCGATATGGGGTTTTGTTATACTTGAATATCACTGAAATCACAGATATTATTTTTCGTGTGCCTAACTAAGGAAAAATCGTTGCAGCTTAATGAACATTAAATCTTATACTGTAAAAAATATCCACGATAATATAAAATAAATTCGTAGTCAAAAGAATTCTTTTACAAAAGAAGTCTGGCTTAAAGTTATAAATAGGTTAACATTTTTTTGAATTTTCAAACCCTAAGCCGCTTACAGGGTATCAATTTTTTCGTAAAGGCCCCTTCATCATTGCTTTTCACCCTTTTGCGCTTTGCACTTGTTAATCGGGGATAAAGAACTCGACGACACCCACAAACAGCGGGCCATGACTTTCCTTTATGACAAATATATTCATTTCATACTCGTTCAAAGGCAACAAATCGCGTGACACGCTGACAGCGGTACTTGCCCCTGGTGTTGTTGCCTTTCTTGTTGCGGTTGTTGAGTGGAGAGTGTAAAACTCAACTATTGTCTTCATTTTTCTTGCAAATCATGCAAGGCAATCTAAAATGTTGACACATTGGCGAATACACACACGCCGACATGGGCACATCGACACATCCTCGTGCTAAAGCGCAAAAACAAAATATATATATATATATATATATTTATTCAGGAGAAAAGAAAAAAATGTGGCGCCTTTTTCCCCTGTCACTCAAGTTCAAGGTTCACACGCTGTCGGTTAAGGTTACGCTTTTGTATTATCGCTGAATTGTCACAAGTCTACGCTTTGTCTCGCAACGAGCGCTTTGAAAAATTACAATAATTGTTATTTACGCATATCTGAACATGAAATGTGTCAATTGGCAACCAACGAGCTAGCAAAGCGAACCGAACGAAACGAAAGAACGCAGAAACGGGGCGTATGCGTAATGTGTGAAAAGGGACACAAGGTCTGCCAATCAGTCGTGCAAATGAGACTGAGTGTGAGGGTGTTTGCGACAAATATCAGACAAGTGCTGTCATGCTTTCATAATTCGGTTCATAAAGCGATTTACGGCTAACCATCAAGGCAATGTTTTAAGTCCCTGGTCAAGCCGCAAAGTCAGATTAAACGATTTCATTGAAAATGGCATTCGTGTTAAGTATATTAAATAATCTTACAAAATCTTACTTCATGAAATCATTGGTTTTTATTAGAAAGCTTAAAACCCAAAGTCAAATGTTTAAAAATACAAATTAAATACAGTTTTCTTTGAAAAGTATAAAAAAAACTTAGTTTTACATTGAAATTTATTAGCAACACCGATAATCAAGGAACTAATTGTATACTTTTTTTTTGGTGATAAGCAACTTCTTATAAAGGCTTTTTTTTTAAGTTTTTACTGCAAACCAAAATAAAAACACTGTTAACAAAAAGAGTATCTGAGCCTCGCGTGAAAAATGTTGTATACTTTTTGCCTATATCACATTAATTGCTCGGTCTAATTCGTTTCGATTTTAGAACATATTTTGGCTTTGGAACTCAGTAAATTGACTTGTTAGGTTTTTTTTTCTGTTTTTTGTTTGTTAACGTGTGTGTACAAATACATTTGCAGTCCCTTTAATTAGCGAGCGACGAGCTTTAAAACAAACGCCAATGGTGTTGGCATTAAATTGAATCCGCACTTTCCCTACGTATAAATAGGAAACGCAGCCGAGTTTTTGACTGGCAGTTGGGTGGAAAGCATTGAGGCAGTTTGTCGATTGAATTAAATATAAATATCATATTTTCATCGTTGAATTAAATATTTAAATATGCGTCGGTTGTTGCGTCGAGTGTTGCCGCTGTTGTTGCTGTTGCTGCTGTTGCCGCTTTTCGTGCTGGGCACGCACTTGAGTGGCGCGTCGGCTGTTGACAAGGATGTGGCACCAGTTGGCGATGTAAAAACGGATTTGCTGTCATTCGAGCAGGAAATTGGCGGCTCTGCGGTTCGGGGCGAATCCATGCGGAATCTGCTTCCGGGGCGGCGAAGGCGTGGCATCTTCTTCAGCGGCGGGATCACCGGGTTTCCCTTCCTCAACTGGGGCAGTGGCTACTCCTGGTCATTCTCCGGCTATCCGTACAACTATTACGGCTCACCAGCACCATCGCCTGGATATTACGGCTATGGCAGTGGCTACTATCCCGGCTACCTACCGGGCTATCAAAAAATTATCATCGGCTAATGCGGTTCTTATGAACAGAAGCAAAAGAAACGAACAAAAAATCGATTAGAATACCTTTCAATGTGAGATTATAAATAATGCCCAGGAAGGACCGACTACCGACCCTTTCGCAGCTTGTTATTTTACTTATTGTTGCTGCTTTTAAATTAATTTGCCGGACACAAAAAGTTGAGCTGAGTTGGAGTGGGGGGCAACAAAAAAGAACAACATGAAATTGCACAATTTATATTCATTTTTGGGGGCACAGATTTTGCATAAATCATTTCGCAGCCACCAAAATGAAACGCGTAACATAATTTTTAACCCTTGATAATTTTTTTATGACAAGCATTTTCGTTATTTTCCCTCCACGGTCACCTTATTTTCATTCGTATTGTTGTTGTTGTTGTTGCTGCTGCTGCTGTGGGCCGCAGCGAAATGCAAATAAAGCGGATCAAAAGTTTGCTGTTAAAAGAAGATTAATTGCAATTTGGTGGCAAGACCTGAAACATTTCGACCCCCACAAGCATCGAAATCCCCTGCCCATTTCGGGTGGGTTGGTTGGTAATTAAATATTTTTAAGCTGTAAATGGTTTCCATTTGCGTGATGCTGTTCTTATTTTGTATTTGCAATCAATAAAATTCATTAAACGTACAACAATAACAAGCAAAACGAACAAAAAAAAGGGAAACGAGTAAAATCAAATGAAATACATTCCTCGGTGGTCTTAGTTTCAATTGCCACTCCGCAGTTTGTAAATTGTTCTTCTATAAGTGCTGTCCTGCATTTGTTGCAGTTTTCCAAGTGGCTATTGTTTATTCATACTGTTTTATAATCATTTTATTGCCGAGGTATGCTGATTTTTTAATCAATTTACATAATTTATGCATTTTTTATGAACTTCACTCCCAACGGGAGCGTAATGGCAGAACGCGTTCGGTTTGTGAATTGTTAAAGAGAGGGAATGTTAAGTTTTGATAGTTGATCTGCTATAATATTGAATTATCCCTATACGAGCAGTTGTCACGTTGTAAATCATTAAAAATTAATTATTAATTCAACTGGGCTTTATTTACAGCGATGGCGATTTCCATCTCAAAAGTTATAAATATGTTCATATATTAAAGTATGGAATTACATTTTGGCTCTGCCAATTGTTAAATATCTACTTTTAATTAATAAGTGTACAGATTTTCAGTTGACTCTGAATCAACATAATTTATCCAACATTTAATTCCAAGCGAATCTATTAAAAGGTTCTGTTAGTTGTTAGTACTCTTTTATCTCATTTTAACAATACATAATACATTTAATTTTAAATATAAAATTAATTAAGTCTTTCTCTTTAATCTATAGACTTGGGTCAGATCACTTTAAAAGTCTTGTATAACTTTTAAAACGGCTTTGATAAGTTAATGGTGAGCTAATTTTAAAATTTGGGGCTTACTGAATAGCAAACAAGTCCAAGTATTATTATTTGTATAGTTCCCAAGTGGAAAAAAAAACTAGAAAATAAAGTTTCAGCTAAAAATATTCCCTTATAACTTTTTGATACCAGAACCTAAATTAAGTTAATGACTAATTTAAGGTGTTTCAAAGCTATGATTAAGAATTTAAGCAATTAGTAGATCACACGTGTTTCTGTGGTTCGGCCCACACCTGAAAATCCCCATGCTTGCCCACCTGTAATTAATAGTTTTTAACTGACACATTTTTTATGCGAAGGAAGGGCCAGTGAAATTGAGGAGGCGGTCCAAATTGAGGGTATCCCGAATTTTAATAGAGCTGTCATTTGTGCTACTGCCACTTTTCCACTTTTCCGGCTGGGCGGAACGACCTCCAGCCAGCCATCCGTCCATTCGTCCAATCAGTCATCCGGGAGCTGCCTACTCCGGGCACTTGTGCCCATTGTGCTTGCTTTTCATAATTGGAACGAGGTCAAAACCAGCGAACCTCATTAAAAATTGAATTGTTTAATTTTCATTTGATTTAATTAAGTTATTTGTTGGTCAATTAACCTTTTTTCCGCTTGTCGCTGTTCCGTTTACCATTGTTGTTGTCTGACATATCAATACGATGTACTATAGAGTGTATATATATACATATGTGTCCGATGCACTGTTTGTGCTGACATTATATTGTTATTGTTGTGATGATTGCCCTTTGCCAGGGAGTGGGCACTTTTTAATGCCTACTTGCAATTATGTGCTGTGCCGGCGCCAACGTGTTGAAATTTATTAATTAAAAATATTTTCAATTAAAGTTAATGCGCTCAGCATTTATGTAATTCTATGTGTAAATACGCTGTAAACTCTTGAAACAACATACATATTATGAAAATACCGCTAGCAGCCAATTAAAGCGTTTTTTTTAATGACAACCACACGAAGCACGGGGCAGGCTTAAAGCCATAGCCATCCAATGGGATATCAAGTGTCTAAAGACCATTCCTTTTTAGCCTTTTGTTATGACCCCGGTTATTTTTTACTTAGCACTTAGCGAGCGGCTTAAACCGCAAGTTAACTCCGAGCCACATCCGCCAACGGAGTCGGCTCAGCCCAACTCAACTCCAACGGAGTAGGAGTGTCTATCTCATTATGCTCAGATGCACTTGCAAAGGCTGGGAACTCTGAGCTTCTCACAGGGCGATAAACAATATTCATGATTATGAAAACTTGTGCGGCGTTCGCTTTCGCACTTGAAATCTGTGAAAGCGAGGGTGGATTGCACAGATCAAGGGGTAGAATAAAGTACTTTTAATTTAAATCCTTTGGCTTTTGTTCCCGGTCAAGTGGCGATGATGGCTGTGCCTCTGTTATGGCATACTTTTTCACAAGGAGAAGTGGTAAATATGCGCTTGTAGGTGGTTCTACATATTTTTGACTGGTGGGTGCGAAAAATATGCATTGGACTTGTGTATTATAATGTTTAAAGTGTATAGGTCATTTATTGGTAATTGAAAACTAAATTCAAAATGTTTTTGCATAAAGCGACTACTTCCTCGCATTGAACAAGTAATAATAGAGTATAGTGCGATTCATTTATAAAAGAAATTGTATTTTATTAGTATTCAAATGTGGGGAATTTTTAATTTTTGAATTTAAAAATTTTTAAAATTTCTTAAATTAGTTAGTTTAATGTTTACTCTACAGCTCTGGCAACAGCTGGCAATCCCAAATCGTACAGCCTTTGACATTCTGCACACAATTGTATTTGATTGCCAAAATCTTAGAATCCAGGAGACCAACAATCCGAGTATCCGTTTACTTTACCAATACGCTTGGAGCTGCCCTCCTCTGCCTTTAGAGGAACTGCATTAAGCGAACGCTCTCGGTCGGCTTCAAATAATCCAGAGCTGGCTATTTTCTCATCCAAAGGCTCCCGGCAATGACCACAGATACAGATACAGATACAGATGAGGATGAGGTTGAGGTTGAGGATGGGGATACCAGGGCATGTAGATGTGTACATATATTTTGGCAAGACATCGAGGAGTCCTTTGCCGCAGAGGCCAACCGAAATGAAGTGTCATTGTGATAGAGCCCCGGCACTGCAGCTGCATCAGTATCAGTGGAACTAGCTGGGTGGCCGTGCATCTCGCAAAGGACCCACAGGACCCGAAGGACTCGCGCTCTGCCCGGACGACACATTTACACGCACCGCTGCAGCTGCAGCACTGCCTCACGTACTCGGCATTGTGACAAATGGATTTTCGCATGAAATCCCCAGGATTTCTTCAAGTGTAATTGCGCACGCTAAAAGCGAATGCGAATGCGGATGCATTTGGCGGCATACTCCTCCCCAAAAAAAAAAGGATTTAGGTGGCTATAGTCGGCTAAATGATACCCGGTCTTTAAGTTTTGCAATAAAAAAAACCTTGTTACCATTTGACTGTAGGTAAATCAGTTTACACTGTCCATAAAATATTCTTAGGTAGGTTATTAAATGCGAATTGATTGTTACCTTTACAATACAATTTCTAAAGTTTCTAAAACATGCAATTAGATACCTTAGATGTTAGTGCGTATATGAAACGAGTGGTTTATAATAAAACCTTTCCATAAAAAGCTATTTAATTGAACATTGGCCCCGAGTATGAAATTTAAAACTAATCAATTTCTATAGAGTTGCATTTTAAGCGATTTATCCTTTTTCTTATACTCTTCGAAACCCAAAACTACATACATTGAATACACCCTTCTGAACCTTCAGTTCCCTGCAAAACAATGCGGATTTGCGTCCGCAAAACGAGCATTAAATTTCATGCACTTGCGAACGTTTATTGCTCTCGCAGGATAATTTTTAGTGTTTGGGTGCCTTTCAGCGGGGCTGCAGCATGATCACCCAGGTGCGTCTGTGGGAGCAGATGCGGAAAACTCGGCTGAGTCGTCCTAAAGCGGCGCAGGGAATACGCAAGGACTCCACGAGCAGGTGGAGTACCAGGCCCACGCCGCTGATGTGGAATCGCAGGATGTTCAGTGTGCGTAGCCTAAGCGTTAGCGGCTCCCGAAAATGTCCTTCCGTCAGCCGTGGTCCATGGATGCAGCTGGCGCTGAACAGGAGCAGCGAAAGCAACAGGATCAGAAACTCTTGGATCAACTGCAACAGAGCCGTCAAATTCTGCAGGTATATGGATGCCGCAAATAAAACCATGCGCAGCGGAAAGCTAAGAAATAGCCCGTAGTATACAAGTGCTTTGCCCCGAAGGTCGGCCATTTTCAAACTCGAACTTCACGCAAAACTCAACTTCCTTGGCCAGCAGAGAACTTGAAATTTGAAATGCAAACTTTGCCTTGCTGCGTGCTATCGCCTGTGATTGGAGTTTTTGTACTTCACTCCACGTTTTTTGTTTTCGATTTTCGAAAGACCGTACGCTTTGACAAATTTGTAGTAAGCTACTTGGCAAAGGTGTCGTTGTCGTTTTATTCCTCGTTTCTTTTTTTTTTTATATACGGAGAGAAAGCGAGCTCCTATATCGTAAAAGTACAAAAAGTTTATATTGCCAAACATTACGAACCAGGGGGCGACATTACTGGCAACCGAGCCACCCCAACAAATCACGCCCAGGCTATTTGCAGTGAATTGAAATTGATCAATTTGGGTAGTTAGGGGAATTGTTTGGCTTTATGTACGCTGCTGGCAGCTTTAATGGATGAATTCGCTTATGCCATCGGGACTGCCGAAATGGGTAAATTGAGGTTGCCACTCGGGGAACCGGATCCGAGCTGAGAACCATATATATCTATACATATATATAGCTAGTGGAGAGATGCCCTCAAATCGAATTAACGTTTGCCCTGCGGGACACGACTGTTTTTGGTGGGCTAAATCAACCGAATTATTCTGCCAAGTTCCTAGCAATTTATGACAGGCCAAATTATGGAAAAATCAACTGCAGATGGAGCCGTTCCAAAATCAAACAAAAAACATGATGACTACAACCCATCATCTAGTAGTTTTTCTTCTGTTATAAATAACATGAACAGTCCAATTTCATAATTTATATCAGAGCTAAAAAAAACAAACTATTTCCACTACGTACAATTTTGTTGTAACTTTATTTAAATATCTGCCAAAATTGTTTGTCTATTTTAAACAAATTATATGGTAATCATTGAAAACAATATTTAAATAGTCGAAAAAAAAATAAAAAAAAACGTTTTAACATACATATTTATAAGATTTTCTGACCCAAAAAACATTGACTTTTACTTTTTATTTAATCTGCTAAATTTCAAATTCGATTTATCCAGCCGGAATAAAATGCATTGCTGTTTTCACACAACAAAAGGTTTTTTTTGCTTTATTTATACGTTTACTTTACTTTTGGTTTATTTTAAAATAAAAAGTGTTATTGAATTAATATGTCATAGATAAATTTGGGAAAAAAGTCCCAACGACCTACAATTGATATTTCTCAGATCATATTCGTATTTTTAATGGGAAACACAAGTTTTACCGGTCAATTTATATTTTTTTTTGGTGCTGGAACATATAACGAAATATAACCTGTCGATGTCGTCGGTTAACATACCTGATACTCATTCTGAGCCCGACAGCTGATGGCATTTGAGTTTGCAGATGACTGCATTTAAGCCCCGAACTGCAGTTTCCCGGCAAGCAGCTTACTGAACGACTGCCAGAGCAGCTCAGTCCAAACTTTCGGCCCACTTCCTCGGGTCTTGGCCAGTTTTAAGACCCTGCATCTCAATTTCCCACTGCCCTCTGTCCACTGCTCACTGCCTTGTCTTTGTGCTCGACTGTCCGCACTGCATTATTTCCAATTGCTCGTCTGTTGGCCAAGCGAGGAATAAAGAAAGATATGGTGTTGAAAAAAAAAGGGAAATACGTAAGGAGAAAATCTGCCTAATTCACAGGGAAAAGCGGATTGAGGGAGGGATCACAGGGGGGCGGGGCAGTGCTTACAACGCAAATCTGCGAACGAACGGAAATAAAGTGGAAAGTGTAATGACAAAAACCCGGATTAAGAATGTGCCGCATACAAGTTGCACACTTGTGCCTTTCTTGATGTCCGGTTCCTTTTCCACAAAGAGTTTGCATTAGAGTGGACCTTCAAAGAAATACTTAATTTATAAGCCATTACATAATTATTTAAATTACTTGCTTCAACACATAATAGGGTGATTATCTCGAGCTTAGCTTTTAGTTTAATACTAATTGTTAACTTTAGATAAATAAATAAATAAATATGGTGATTACCTAGGTAATATGAATTTTTTTTAGGATGGGAGAAGAAAGTCTTGTTCCAAAAATCTATAGACATTTTAAAATAAAGAAAATAAATATTTATTATAAATGATAGTATTGTCATGGTACAAGTTTCTTAGTTCTGTATCCTTAAAAATCCATTGGGTGTTTGTGGGATGGTCCACCCTAAAGTGCACAGAATCTTTCTGCTTTCGCATCTTTCTCCATCTCTATATATGTATACATCTAAATACATAGCGACGAATATATTTTAAGCGAGGCTTATCTTATCAAGCGACATAAAAGACGCCTTTCAGCGGGCGTCTAGCGACAATTGTAGTGGCACCGATTCAGATTCCGATTCAGCTTCAGTTTTAACCATGGGTTCGTATGCGGATTCGGATTCGGAGCGGACCGGGACCTGGACCCGGACTCGTTTGCTTTGGCTTTAGCTTTGCATTGGCCAGATCTAGAGCCAGATTCGGATTTGGATTCGGAACCAGAGGCTGGGGCAGAGAAGGAGGCTGAGGCAGCTCCTTGTCCGCAGGGCAATGCACACAGCTGGACATTCATTACAAAAACGGAAACACTCGCACAATGACAGAAGATAAATGGACCTGCACTTGTACGTGTGTCTCCTGCTCTCAATCCATCTAAAGGACCACCACCCCCCCTCCCCCAAGAGAATTTCGCTGTGTGTGTGTGTGTGTGTGTGCGGTTTTTATTTAGTCGCTTGTTTTATATCAACATCTAACAAACGAGAGAAAAAAAAAAGGGAAGCGAAATCTTTGATGGTGGAAAATGGAAAGAGCTTATACTTTTCCTTTTTTCCATACACTGCTGCTGCTTTTAGTTTAGCTTTTTAATCTGCGCATTGCTTTTTGTTGCCTTTTGTTTTATCAGCAAGCAAAATCGGCAACGGCAAACAGCGCTTCATATTCATTTTGTGTTGTTCCATTTGCTGCCATATTTGTATTCCGTTGCTGATGCTACTTTTTGCCCGCTTGTCTTTTTTGATTGAGATATTTATTATGGACATTTTTTTTAGCTGCTCTCCCGTACACCTAGCATCCCTACCAATTTCGCTTGCCTTTTGGCCCAATTTCAATTTAAAACTTTAACCATTTGTTTTGCGGAGAGCGCAAATTTATCAGCTATTTTTGCGCCATTTTTGGCCAGCTCGTTGCGAGCGTTGCATTCATCAAAAAATTTTATTCCGGCGCGTTTCTAACTTGGCGGTTTTTTATAAGCGCACTTTATGTCAAAACCACAGCGACACCAACACCAACAGAAATGCTGGCTGCACCACTAAAAGGAATGCGAAAAAATATTTATTTCCTCCCCGAAAACCACCACTTTTCCACGCCCTCACCCCCTTTATAAAGTTCAGTCCCTCTGACCAGCGACAAAAGACAAAAGCAAACCAAACCAGAACTCAACCTAACCGAGCGCAAAAAAAAAAAGAAAAGAAAATAAAAAATTGAAAACAAACTGTCAAGCAAGTGAAATAAATTAACAAAATGGCGCCATAAAGCTAACATATGAGCGAATACTTGATTTTTGCAGCAGCTCCTCCATATAAATTTTGGAGATGAGCTTACTGCATCGTGCAGCTTTTTCCTTTCTTCGCCACTAACTTTTCTATTATTTAGACATATATGCCACTGACAGCGTTTGAAGACAAAGCCGAAGAAGTTGAAAGTTTGTGCAATAATAAAGGCTCGACGCGGTTGATACCGTGTCTGGCATTTCCATCTTGAAATAAACTTTGTTTCCCACAGAGAAATTCTCGAAGTGAATGATAATCTCTGCTTAATTGAGTTCAAGGAAAATGTTCACATTGGAGACAGGTGCAAATTAACATTGCTTTGCCGTCTGAAAGACACTTACAAGTTTTTGACTACAAGTAAGAATTAATTTCTGGAGTGCATGAAATAAGACAACAAACAATTAGAGCAGGCATACATATCCTACTGAGCTTTAACAGCTTCTCCTAAGATTTATTTATATCTGCCCATTAATTAAAAGTTTGGTTTATTTTATCAAGTGAATAATGATGCTTATTAACTGACAGTTGCATTGAATTTTACCTACTTCTAAAAGAGAATTGAATGTAAAGCCAGAATTCAAAACTTTTAGAATGTTCAATTGCTTTACTTAAATCTTAGGAAACATTACAAATCAAGTACTAACTTTTTGAAAATCAAAATTTTATTTGGACACAAGTCTTTTAAAATATGATTATGATTTAATGATTTTAATCCCACAATTACCACGCTTCGTAATACATTAATACATATTAAATCCTTAATTATCATTTGTAATAATACTTTCAGACTCTAATGGCTTTTTTGTGTACAGATCTTAAATTCTCCTTTGAAACAACATTTTATAGTTGCGCTTAAGGACTGTCCTAAGTTTAAGCTAGCTGATGGCAATCTACTGAGACTCAAATAACTCACCTTTTCGTTTGCAGTCCTTCTTGGATTTGGCATACCCTTAAGCCCGCTGAATGCCCAAGTGCAAGCCCGGCAATAGTGATTTTTTGCTTAACTTTATCGCTCGCGCAAAACAAAAGTAACTACTTCGCTGTTGACTTTTTGCTTTTGGGGCGGTGTTACATGCGACATATGAGCCGCAACTGGCAGCATGTCACTGCCCCACAACGGCAACAACAATAACCAATGGCTTCAATTTTGTTGATTGGAGTCGCACGAGGTTGTCTCGGCCAGGCCAATGCACATACTGTACATATACACCCAATGGTTAGCCAAAAGGCTGCATGGCTGACTGAATTGGCCGAGAAGTGGGGTACTTTTTTCGGCCTGGCAGCCGGCTTATGGTATGTGAATGCAATTGCCAATGTGCCGGCGTGCAAAGTATGCCCAAATGCATTTTAAAACATTGTTTTGGCTACGCTTTTTGCCACATGGCATCAGCTGGCGACCATGTTGGCCTGGCCAACACACAAAAGCCAATGCCAAACAGATAAGAGCGCGTATTTTATTTGCATACTTTTAGGCTGACTTTGCGCGCTGGCTGCGGCACTGGCGTTTGGAAAGCCATTTGCCAGCAGAAATGCGAGTTGGTTGACAAAAAAAAAAGGGAAAAGAAACAAAAAAAATACGACACGAAAAAAGGGAAAAAG